CCCGTTGCGTACAAATGCTCGGAAATTGTACTTTTCTGCCTGTGATCACAAAAACGGTTGGCATAAGCGAATATTATATTGGCAAACGGGGGGCAGATGGAGGTAAACGAGGAAATACGAGGGAAAAAAGATAGAAATCATTATTATTACTTTGGTGTGTACATATGCGTATATGTGCGTATGTGTTTGTCGAAGAGATGGTAAATGCAGATTACAAAGTTAACAGCAAATGTACCAGCAGCAATGAGTAGCCCAACCGATCGAGACAGTGAGCATACTGGAGAGGTAACAAAGAATACAAACGGCAAAAGACTGTTGGTTGGAGTTTCTTTTGTGAAAAAACACTGATACAGTTGTGAAGACAGCATGTGGCAAAGAGAAACAAAAAAAAGTGAAAGACAGAAAAAAATATAGAAGTAAGGAAGAAGAAAGCAGATGAGAAATAAAAATGACTGAAGACAGAAAAAGTACCATGGAACAGTAACAGAGAATCAATGAGAGTCTGAAGACGGCTTTTCAGGATAGCACATTTGGTATTTGTTTGGTTTAGATGGCTGGCTGCATCAACATTAGCATCAGCATCATCATCAGCAGCGAAACATACCACCAAACAGATTTTCTGCGTTCGCCTTTCACCGCTTTTACAATACCGCTTTCCAGTCCGTCCCCTCCCGTCCTATCCCGTCCGTCCATCTGTACTTCTCGGCCTCTCTTTGCCTCTTTTGTTTTGCCTCCTTTTCTTTTTTTCTTCCACCTCTCCTCACCGGTTGATGCCACTGCCCGTATCTCTGTTATTTGTGTGTGTTTGTGTTTATGTGTGCCTTGGAACGGTTACATTTGAATTGCTATCCTCTTAACCTAATCTCGTCTATTATTACCTCTGCAAACCGGTGGGCATTAAGAGGTTGGCTACAAAACAAATGTTAGTTGAGGACGATCTGGGTTCATTTCAGCTGGTTCAATACCAATATCAATCGTAAATAAAAATTCGTCCGGTCAGCCCTTTTTATCCATTTTTGAAGAATATCGAAACAAAGATTAGCGCGCAACAACAAGAAGAAAAGACATTTGTTAGTTTGATATAGATAGCACTTACTTTTACGTAAGAGGTTTTGCAAGATTAGGAGTGTGAAAGCTTATGCTCACCGCTGTCATGAGATTTTGTTATCCGTACAAAAACCCATCGACTGTGGTCGCGTTAATGCAGGAGTTTAAATAACTAAAGTGAAGAGCGAAAAAAAGGGTGCAGAATGAGAGTTAGCTGTCTAGTACGATTGCTTATACGGAAGTACTGATTTTCAACTGGTGGTTGATAGCTGTGAAAGAAGGATGCGTGTGCAAAAAAGAAAAGTAGAATTTGCGTTTAGGTAAAAAAAAATACTAATTGCGCAACATTATGAATATCAGTATAAAAAAGAATTTGAGAAATTGAACGACTAATTCCTTCCTTTCTGTTGCTTCCATTCCACTCCTATCTGTATGAAAGAAAAAGCTTAAGCAGCTACTTTTTCTCGTACTTTTCACGCTATTACTTTGCAGAAGCCCTTGATGTTTTCTACGACCTACAGCAATAAAATTAAAAACCGTAAGCAATCAACTGGAGAACGAAAGAGGAAAACGATATCGATGAAGACTGTTGTTCAGTATTCATTTACAATTAGGAAGCTCTACTGAATAAACAAGACATATCCGATCTACATATGATTAGCAAACGAATTTTTTCCTACTACTGCGAGGACGCGGTTTTTTCACACGTCACCGTGTTGCAGCCTCCGAAAAAATTCATGAAATTAGGTTTTTTATCTATGCATTGAATTAGTCTTTTTTCTTATTGCTAAATTTCATCTACACAGAACTTTTATCATACTTTTGGTCACTTTCTAGGTATACATACAAGAAGAGAAGGGTCCTTATCAGTCTTGCAAAGGTAGAAAAAGTGCAGTTCTATTTGAAAAGAAAAAAAAGTGTATATAAGTGTTTGTACACTATATAAATATAAGTATAACTACAAAAATAAGTAGAAAAATAGGTATAAATATAAATATAAATATAAATATAAATATAAATAT